CCTAAGTTAAAAAATTTTATAACAAATGATATAGAAAGCTAACAATATTGGTGAAACCCAGGAGCTTCATAAAGTGGCAATTACCCTTTCACTTTTAGATATTTTCCCTTTTTCCTCTTGTATTTTGTTCTTTTAAAGCCTCACATATTAAGAAAACCTGTCAATTTTAATGTTTTTAAGTGGTTCTTCAAAAAGACAAAGAGAAAAAAAAGAACTTTATTCCTATTGTTAGAGTGTCAGTACCTGGAGAGCCTTTAATTTTTTCCTTTTTAAAGCTTTGAATTGTTCTGTTTGAAGTTCAAATTCAGGAATAAAACAAGAGTCAAAACTGAAAGTATGTTTCTATATAGCAAATTAATGGACTTAACCAGGAAAAAGCTGTGTTCAGCTCTAAAGCTTGTCACATAAAAGGAATTTTAACCTCTTTGGGATTTCTTTTTTTTGGTTTTCTTTCTTTTTTGACCCCCCAAAGGCCATTTTTTCAACATTTCAGAACTACAGAACGTGTGTACCTTGATAGTTATGTGTGAAAATTTATAATAGGCACTTTGTGAGGTTGAGTGGAGTCCCATTGAAGCGAACAGAGAGCTTGGCCTAGGCCTTAAATACACAATTACAATAATTTAATCTTCTAAGTCAAAATCCATATAAAGCAAATAAAAATTACTGCTGAGCCTTTGAATTTCAGCCTTCACTCTGTGCGTATTAGTGGAAGGAAAATTACATTTGAAGTGGTCACCATGCAGATGTTGGCCAGGAGTTTTGATTTTCTTGTAGAATCTGAGTAGTCAGGTGGGGTTGGTCTCTTTCTTCAGGCAGCAACTGGCAGAACAAGAGGTCACAGTCTCAAGCTGTGTCAAGGGAAATACAGGTTGGATATTAGGAAAAGGTTTTTCATGGAAAGAGTGATAAAATATTGGAATGGCCTTCCAAGGGGGATGGTGGAGTCACCATCTCTGAACGTGTTTAAAAAAAGCCTGGATGTGGCACTGGGTGCCAGTGTTTAGTTGAGGTGTCAGGGGACAGGTTGGACTGGATGATCTTGAAGGTCTCTTCCAACCTTGTGATTCTGTGATTCTCTCTCTGATCAGCCCAAAGCCAGTGTGCAGTTAGCATGTGCTCACTTTTCAGTCACGCCCCAAAATCCCCAGGGTGAGCGCATCCTTCAATTCACAAATCCAAGGGGGATTTTTCCAACACAGATTGATTTGTGTATGCATATTTAGGTGTTAGGGAGAGAAATAAGGCTGTTGAGAGACTTCTGCAAGATTTAGAGAGAGAAACAGTTGTTACAGATTATAATAAGGTGTAAATGTTCTTCACTCCCTAAAATGGGGAAGCTGACATATTAAATTGCATGTGCTCTACTGATGTGGACTGACTCAGAGAACTTGAAGGAAATAACAGCTGTGCACATCAACGCTTAAAAATGGAAACTTCATCACTCAGTAGCAGTTCAGAATGAATGAAGAAATCAAAAAAAATATTAATTACAGTGCTTAGAGAGAGGAAAGATAAAGTTCAAACTTTCTGAAGGCAGAATGCTGTGAACAATGCTGCAGCATGTCTGTGCTGGGTGGCAGCCCCTCGTCCTGCTGAGCCACTCTGTTAAGGGCAGACACAGGACACTGCAGCCATTTCGGATACCCAAGATGACTCAGGGTTCCCACATGACTGACAGTTATGATGTAGGAAATATGGGAGACTCCTGCCCTTCTGGAGTGGCAGCTGGATGCCCTGAGGCATCTCAGATGGCAGTGGATGCTTCAGTCTAAGGAGTAATTGCACATAAACATAAGTACAGACTCACTTTCTCTCACACTTTTAATACATAGTCACCTGAAGTGGTTTCACAGCAGTGTTTGCTGTGGGTTATTGTAGAAAGTAATGAACAGTTTATCTAATTTTAAACTTAGTAATAATTCTGAGGTGACTAGAAAAGGTGTACAGCTTAAAATCAAACCAGGTATAAAATGAAAAACTATCCTAGCATCAAAAATTTTAGTTAAAAACTATGATTTAAAGTTGCAGTGGATGGTTGTTTTCCTAATGACCTCAAATTCATGAATTCATTCTAACTTTTTCCTTTTAATATATTCATAGTTAAATATAACTTGAATGTTGTCCTAATTACATTCTCATGTTAATTTAGCTCTGATTCAGAATTTCTATCATTATTCTTTGTATAATTATTTTGAAATGATGGAAGGTTCAGAAAAGATGCTCCATTCTGTGATTGTTCCTTTGAATTATTTATCAAATTCGAAGACAGAAATATAGCTAAAATCCAGTTTGAGTTGTAAATGAGTTTTGGCAATGTAAGGAGGAAGTGCAAGTCCTTTCTGCAGAGTGCCACGGGTGCAGCATCAGGGACTGCAGGAGCACTGCTGGCCCCACAGAGGCAGAGAGGTTCATGGTTAACAAGAAACCTCCACTGCTCCAGCTGGCAAGTGCTGTCTAAGCTCATAAAACAGATGATGTGTGGAAGAGGAAACACAAAGAGAGATACAGAGAACTTGCAAAATGACAGTGCAGATTAGTGACAAAATGAAGAGAAAACCTGTCCTGTCTTGGTCAGAAGCAGCCCTCGATCCCTCTGCGATGTGCCATGGAAACAAAAGCTTTCCCAAGAACTGTCTGACTCCTGTTTTCCACAACCCATTGCAGTGGCAAACAGTAGAGTGCTAACATCAGGTTGTAGAAACCAGCATTAATTCAGAAATTGTGGCTGTGGCCCTGAGCTAGGTAGAGAACAAACAATTGCTGCTGAGGCGTGTGCGAGTCTGAGAGGGTGAGACGCTGCTGGGGAAAACTCAAAAGGAGAAAAGGAAACTTCTCTTAATGTAAGCAGCAGTTTTGCTAGAGGTAAGTGAGGGGAAATTCTTCATTGATAAATGGTTCATTGAGCCATGATAATAAAGCAGTGCTGCAGAAGAAGGATAATTATCTACTTAAGTATCAGATGCCCTAAGGGTACAAGCTTCCCTTCTCTCCTTTGGAAAAATGAACTCGGATTAAAGAAATGTCCTTTTTCCTGTTCTAGTGTTGACATGGATTTCCTTTTTATGAGTAAAATTAATTAGTTTTTCTATTCCTTTATTCCTGGTATGGAAATCAGGTCTGCCAATCAACTTTGCAGCTCTTCCCTTGGACTCAAAGTTTAGCCAATAGCATTGTTTATTGTGCTCTGTACAAAGCACTGGGAAGGCACAAATGAATTACAAGGGGTTTACTATGCCTGGTAACTTACCAAGGGACACAGCATTTCAGAACTAAAACCCCACAAAACTAGGAGTTTTGTCTCCATCCAGGATTGTTTTGTTTACAAGTACCTGCTTTCTAAATATATTTTTCTCCTTTCTTAAATGTTAATAACATAAGCTGTAACAAGTGAAAAGAAGAATAGTGGTGGCATAGCTGATTCTGTACAAAAAACCCCTGAGAGACAGATTTTCAAAGCAGATTAGCACCCACAGCTGGGACCAGTCTTCTCCTGCTCTCTTGGGAGCTGCTACAGGTAGAGCTTGCTCAATTCTGCTCCCACTGTGGCAAATATCCATTACAGACTTGTCTGTTCTCATCTGGATTTAGACAAATGATCAAAACCTGCCACTACATCTTTACTTTGAGAAAATGTCTGGTTTTCTGTCCTATCAGAATGATAAGTGTGATTCTTATAATATAACCTTGCTGTATGTAAACATGTTGTCTCTGTGCCTATGGAAATAATTGATCTTTCACGTGTATTAATCTCTCCTTATTTCAAATGTCTCACATGGTTCTTGCCAATCAGGTTGATGTAACCTTTTTGTGAACCTGTTAACTGCACAGCAGTTCCTAGTTACCTTTCCTGGATTATAGAGAATATTCCGGAACACCTGCAGGCTTCAAGATGCAGTAAAAATAAAGATGACTGTAATACAATGGCATGGAACTTAATTTTCTTCAAATAGTCCTTTGAATACTTATTTTAATACTGGAAAAAATAATTTTCATAGCCTTTGGTCATGAAAGTTCAAGTGGTGTTAAAGGTTACTTTAAGGTCTTCATTCTGCAAATTCTATTCTGTAAGTCAGCAAAGAATCCTGTCTGCAGGGAATTGAAATGAGAATCAAGTACTTGCTTGTTGGATCTACACAACTGAGGCTCTGCTAAGAATTCTGGACCATATTAATAATGTTGCATAATTGACTTTCAAGTGAGGAATCATAGCAGTTATTAATTACTGTGAACACAGCAGATCAGATGACTGTAAGCAGCATCTGTGTACTTCCATTATTTACTTTATAGCTTCATTTCACTGACTCTCAAATCACAGTCACCAAGGTAGAATTAAATCAAAGTATATTTACAGGATTGTGAACACCGTGCTTTAAAGGAAATAGACTTAATTATCTTAATGTATTTTTAAAAACACATTATAGTTACAACAGGTGAGCATTCCTTGTGAATTGTAAATAATGTGTAGAAATAAGTGATCTGCTGTGATCAGCATAGTGCCAGCTTGTCATATTTAGGTGCCTAAAATTAGAGGTGTGAGATCAAGATTTTCAAAAATGTATACCACATATGGGGAAAAGTATTGTAAACTGCTGTCTCAGACAACACATCCAAAGCTCTCTTAAATTTCTTTGGCTTTCCCCCATTTTTAATCACAAAAGAAAATGTCTCTGACTTTTGCAGGAGATAAATACCAGCATTTTTCCATTGAGATGGTAAATTTGGGTCTGTGAAAAAATTGCTTTCCCTTAAAGGTCTCAGTATAGCACAAGAGCTTCACTAATTTTGCCCTTATCTGAGGGGTTTGAGGAAAAGAATTCTGAACACAGCATCATATAATTCCCTGTAATAAACCCTATGTTTCTGATGCTCTTGTTGTACCACCAGAGAGGAAGAACTTAGGCAATTCAAGGGGGATCGGAACCAGGTTCCAGGCTGGGGATTGAGGCTGTTCTGGACCACTCAGATTTGTGTTTGTGCCTTGACACTGCCACCCCCAGATGTCCTTGTTTGTCCCCTGCGGCCGGTGGAGCGTTTCCGTGACCTGTGTCCCGAGGAAGTGGCTGATTTGTTTTGTACAGCTCAAAGGGTCGGGAACGTGGTGGAGAAACATTTCTGCGGCACTTCGCTCACCTTTTCCATCCAGGTTGGTAAACCAGTCAGCTAAGAAAGGTTTAATGGTTTGTTTTATCAAGCTTTCAGCCTTTTCCCCTTGTCCAATCACAAAAGGACATTGAAACTTCAAGGGGTAATAAATGCAAAATAACATTAATAACAGACAAGAAGCCAAATAACTGCATTGCAGTCTTCCAGATTTGCCATTGAGAAATCTAAAGAGAAAACCAGTGGGAAAGTGTGGTTAATTAAAAAATTAAAAGCCTTGGATAAAGCCAGCAAACACTCTCAAATGGTATGCTTGTTTGTGAGTATTTCAGGAAACATTCTTCCTTCAAAGTGTTTGCAGGGTTGACCTCTAGAGAAGGCAGCCACAGCCCCTGTTCCACACACAACCCACTGCACACACTTGAGATAGGTGATCCCTCCTCACAGATATTTATATGCAGGCAGAGAGCTGTAGCCATGTAAATACATTATAAATCCTGACCTTTCAGTTGTTTGTGCTGGGTGTTGTTATACCAAAAATGAACTCTGTTTAAAGCAAACCAGGAGACTAAGCCCATTCATTAGAATCAGAATTTAAGCAAGCATAGTTTGATTAAATTCTTATTTCCACGTGTGATTTTATGTTCACAAGGATCAGAAATTTATTGCTAGCTATTGAAAAATATAATCTGAAAAAATGAAAAATAGAAACTGTTGTATTTGTGATGTGAGATAGTTTCCCTCTTTGCTAGGTTCTGATATGGAAAGGAGCTCTGTACAAAAAACTAGTGTTGAATGGTCCTCAGGAAAAATATGCTAATTTAACAGACAGAGTAATTGATGTAAATGACTATTGAGTAAGATTTCTGAATTTCTGTGTGATCCTTGTTAGATCCTCTAACCTGAGAGTTTTCCCTTTCCTTTCAGGATGGCCCTGAAGCTGGACAAACAGTGAAGGTGAGTGCTTATTATGCAGAATACAAATTAAGACACAATTATAGGAACTAATAAAAGATCAAAGCTCGTCATTTGCAGTGCATTGCTGTATTGTTACTTCATCCTTGAGATCAAAAAATCCCAAGTGTACAATAGCAGTAAATACTTTTTATTGAAATTGCTCAAGATAATGTTTACACGTTTTCTTCCTGAACAAAAATTTTCAATCAAGAAAATATCTTTTCTAAGCTGCTGGGTGTATTTATGCAAGGAAAGCCTCATGAAAAAGGCATCTGGTTTAGTTTTTTGTTTGTTTTATGGAGAAAATATTGCCCTTCCATTCAGGATCTCTTTGTTTTTCTGTTTATTGCCTAATGAGTTGTAGCTAATTGTAGGAACAGTTAAACTGAACCACATTATGAAAATATACCTTTTGTCTATGATTTCTCTCACTGTATTCATATCACATTCTTGTTACTGAAGTTCAAATGTAATGGGCCCAGTGAAGCTAAAAACCAGATTTTAAGTGCACTTCCAAAAAAGAAAGGTGGGAGGGTGGAAGGGAAGAGAAGGATTTATGATTATATTCTCCACTTGAGTAATAACACAGATAACATCCAAGATGTCTCTCCAGCCATGTTTCACTGCCTCATAATGCAAATGCAATTGCATGTGTAGTTAGATGATATGCCTCAACATTAGATAAAGACCATTTTTTATGTTTGGAATCAGAGGAAAGTCAAATATGGCTATGGGTTAGCACTTTGTAAAATCAAATTAGATGTCTCAGAAAACCTGTTTGAGTTGATTAAGATAACTGTAACAACCAAATGATGGTGGATAGGAACATTTTACTTTTTTTTCAATTTGCTGAATTGACCTTATTTTTCCTTCTGCCTTTTGCTGGCTGCTTTGAATATTTAACAGAGAGATAATAGGGAGAGGGAAGAAGAAATTAGAATATCACCAAACTTGGGATGTGATGAAGGAATGTAACACATTTTATTTCTGTACTGTGATAATACAGATTCCTTGACTCATGACTTTGAGTGCATTGGGTGGATTTCACTGGCAGTGTCTGTTGATAGGTAAAATAATAAGTTTAACTGGGTTTGGAGTAAATTTTGTTGTTATCACCAATATGATTTATGAAAAAATCTGAGCATTTATTTTAATAACTTGAACAAGTATTTTTCTCTCTATTAAGAAAAGGTATATAGGAATGGTTATATGTGAGGAGAATCATTTTTATGAGTGAGCAAAGGAAGATGTAAAAATTCCCATCTACTCTGATTGTGAATAGTAACAAATGCTTATGTAGGCCTTAGAAAGGCAGGAAGTTCTGCATTGCTTTGGGTTTGTACTGGAAGCAAAGAGCATTAAGTGTTTATTGCAAAATGGCAGCCACCCTTCATGCCTCCTTCTCACACTTTTAATAAACACTGGGATGAAAATGACCTGTTCTTACAACTGTGAACCCCTAGACTTTGCAATTGTGAGCATGTATGCATAAATCAGAGGTTATCAGTTTACATTTCTCTACTTTTCTGCATCACAGGGCAACACTGTAATTTATCATCATCGCTTTGGGATGTTTATCATCCAAAAATGCCAACAACTATTTCCTTCAGAGAATTTAGAGCTTTCAAAACTTCAATCAGGAAAGAAATTACTGTGATCGAGATCTTCTTTTAAGTGAACAATAGGGTGGATACGTAAATAGCTGCTTTCAATTAAACTTTTCTGAATCACAAAGCTTGAAACAACACCTGTGTGACCGACAAATAATTTATGAACCTTAAATTCAATGTGTCATGTTTCTGGATGTGGATTTATTTGAGGGGTTTTTTTCGTGTATGAGAATCCACAATAATCCAGCCTCCTCTGAGAGAGCTTTTAATTAAAATTTCTGGAACAGACCAAATATTAGAAAAACATTCTAAAAGTAAAAATAGCAAAATAGCAAAATATCACAAATATTCAAGGGAGTTTGTGGAGACTGTGTAAGTAGGGTAGGCAAGTGTATCTCAGGAGCTAATTAGGTGTAGCTGATTTTGCTTTGAATGGGGTTACATAGCAGATGGTTTCAAGAGTCTTTTCCAGTATTTTTTGTAATTCTGTATACCTGTGTAAATATATAAATAAATACTTCATGTACTGTGGAGGAACAGAAATACAGGAAGCAGGAGAAGAGTATTGACTTTTCAATTGCTCAGTACAAAATTTTACTACAAAATGGGAAGAGCTATCAGCCTAGCTGAAGACAAAACCTGAGAAATTCAGTCTGAAAAAGATTAAGGAATTCTCCTTCTTTGTCCACAAGAAGAAATGATAATCCATGTACAAGAAAAATCTAGAACCTAAAATGAGTCTCAGGTCTTTCTTAGCAATGGAGATGCTGAAAATTATATGTGCAAAGTATGCAACAGTTTGGAAGGAGATGACCCTTTCCATGTGATTTTGGCTAGAAATCAGTGATAAGATTGTCTGCCAGTGTTACATGTCCCTTTTGGTGGTGTGAAAGCTGCTGGTTTGTGCATCTTGTGTTAAAGCCTAGTGAGAAGCTGTTCATGATCTAATTGTAGTTTCTTTATTGTTGTACTCTGTTCCTCCTCTGCATCTAAGGTAGCAGAGCCTGCAGGACAATGTTCTAGGGCAGCTCATGGCTTCTAGTTACCTAGTGAGAAGCTGATCATGTAGATTCTTTATTGTTGTACTCTGTTCCTCCTTTGCATCTAGGGTAGCAAAGCCTGCAGGACAATGTTCTAGGGCAGCTCATGGCCCTGGCAAATTCCCCTTTATTGTGTGTTTTCACTGGATGGGTCTTTGGAAGTAATTATACCTCAGTTCACCAATATTTTTAAGTATAGATGGGTCTTTTCCCACCCTTTAGCAGCTGGAAATATACACATGGTAAGGGATTCTGAACCATGTCCCCCGTCTCAGACAGCAAAATAATGCAATACATTCCTTCATAACATTTTTCATAGCTTTCCACCTATTGTATCTATTTCTGTCACCTGTTTATGAGAGAAACAATTGTCCTTCTCCAAAGATGATCACAGAATTGCACGCTGTTTTATTGTGAGAGGTTCTTGAACCACTCACAACAGAGAGCTTGAGTATCTCTGGCACCTGAACAGTGTGTCATCAAGCAAAACCATCTTTTAGCATTCAAGACATTTTGAATACTTATTTCTTATTATTTGAGAAAAGGAGGAAATTGTGTTTAGGTCCTCCCTTAAAGACTATTAATCTCTGCAATTTTGAGCTCTCTTTTTATTGGAGAACACAAAGCCCATGGTGTCCTTGTGCCAGAAATGGAGGGTGGGTTTCATGCTGGTTCTGTTTGAGAATGCCTTAAATATCCAGGCAATTTCATGGATCAGGGAAATCAGCTCTGCATCTTAATGCAGGGCTCTTATTGCTATGTCAAGTGAGCGACGTTTCAAGATTTCCCTGGTATGTTTTATAGCCTTCTTTTCATCACCAAGTCAGCAAATGCTCTGGCTGCCTGGGTGGATGTATAGCTTAGTGTAGAATAAGCTCTCAGGTTTACCTTTTACGTGAGATTCAATCACAAGAAACTCCATGGATTCTGTACTCTGCAAAGGCTAAACAAATCAAGCTGGCAGGAGCATGAAGCAACTAATTTATCTGTAGAGACAAGATAATATTGCACAGCAAGTGTCCATTGCACAAACACGTATGAACACATCCTCTATTTTGCAGCAGTGTTGAAGTCTCCAGCAGCTCAGCACCTCCTCTGTTATCCATGAGAGAGGGAGGGCCTGTTTGCCAATTACAGGTCCCCCTAAATAAATGAGAAAGCAAAGCTGATGGTGGCAGTGTGGGTATGTGTGCAGAAACTTATTTTATATGTCACACATTCCACTGGTTATTTTATACTGAGGAGACTTTCTCATGATTATTTTTGATGTACATATTTTTCTTTTCCAGATGTTTTTTAATGCTGTGTTAAATCAATCCACCTGGCTTGCATTCCACAGAAATCTCAACCTGAGCTGTGGAGCACAGGGCTCATTTAAGCCCACAGCAGCCTACTCTTTCATCCTCTTTGTCTATTTATGTCTTGACCCGAAGTACTGGTCTGGAGGGTTGAGTCTTTAAATTTAATCAGATCACATTGCAGACTAATTGCATCGGAAGGATTAAATTCACTAACTGCAGTGCTTTTGATGCCTCAGCCTTCTTTCCCTGCAGACCAGCAGAAGTGAGCCCTGGTTTAGTGAAGTACTAGAAACCCGCTTTTGCACTCTTAGAAGAACAAAAAAAACCTGGTGTTTGAGAAATGTGAAGATTTTTCTTACCTTTAAACAAATCTAAAAACTCAGATACAAAAAGACATGGAAGAGACAAATTTTTGAAAACCACATTGTGCTGAAACATGTGAACAAATCATCTCCTGTGCTTTACCCTTAAGAATGATAATTCTCTTGGAAGCTTGTGAGACATCCAAAAATGATTTGAGGAAGTGCAGCAGTGTCTTTGAATTGCTCTGAGAACCACACTAATAGTATTTGGTTGGAGACTATGTAATATTGTGGACAGGTAATTGGTACAGCAAATTCAGTAGTCTCAGGGCTGCTTCGTCTGTTTTGAGCTCAAAATTTTCTTTCTATTTCAGTACTATGTTTAGTTTGGGGTGGTTTGGGGTTAGTGATGTATATTTTCAAAGCTAGGGTTATACTGCCCCTTACAGAGACAGCGAAGCAGCAGGATCATCCAGATCGTTTCTCCCCTCTTCCTTGAAGTCTTTTGCCAGCTCTATGGTTTCTACTCACTCTAAGTAATAATTCCTGTCCTTTCCTTCAGGGATTTTTTTCAAAATCTGTCTTGTGTTGGTCTAAATTTCCTTTCAGTCTTTTGTGTTTTCTCTGATGCAAATTAAGTTCTAATAAGTCTTTGCTTTGTGAGCTACTTACTTCTGTTCATAACATGTAACATTTAGTTTTTGACTGAACAATAAGCTTTCCAGAAAAAAACATCATATTGTTATT